TCAATGTGATTTTAATATATTTCTTTAATTTTTAAGTCAACCTATTTAATTAAAAAGTTAAAAAGTTAATATTTTGATATTTCTCAAAAAGTTCTTTAAATATATATAGATTTATTTTGTTGTAATTATAACCAGATAAAATAACATATTCTCCATTCATGACATCCCTTATATATTAATACAGAACGCGCTGAGCCTATGTGGCTGCTTCTGGTGCTTCGGAATTCGATGTGGCAAAATTACATGCTTCGTTATTAGGCTTGGTAAATTTTAATTTAATTCCAAACCAAAAATAATTAAGTTCGGATTACCATAAATATGTTGATTATTTATGGTAATGTTACATGTATTAATTGCATTTTAATATCATTCTTTATTATAAATATTGAATTGAATATATATTTTACAAGTTAATAACTTCTGTATTTTTTATCAGTTTTACATATGTAATATATCAAATTAATCTTCTTTTGATGAGTTTTGATTTAACATCCATATTGTATGTATAAAAAAAATAATTTATATTTATCTTTATAACAATAATAAAATTATTTTTAATATTAATTAAAAAAAAAATTATTTATCAACTAATCCTCCCTATATATTATTCCCGAATACGCTGAGCCTACGTGGCTGCTTCTGGTGTTTCGAAATCCTACTTGACAAAAAATCATGCTTCGTAATTAGATTTGGAAAAATAATATTCATATATTAATAATTAATAATTTAGGTTTGGTCATTCCATATATTAATACAGAACGCGCTGAGCCTACGTGGCTACTTCTGGTGCTTCGGAATCCTATGTGGCAAAATTACATGTTTCGTTATTAGGCTTGGTAAATTTTAATTTAATTCCAAACCAAAACAATTAGGTTCAGATTACCATAAATATGTTGATTATTTATGGTCATGTTACATGTATTAATTGCATTTTAATATCATTCTTTATTATAAATATTGAATTGAATATATATTTTAAAAGTTAATAACTTCTGTATTTTTTATCAGTTTTACATATGTAATATATCAAATTAATCTTCTTTTGATGAGTTTCGATTTAACATCCATATTGTATGTATAAAAAAATAATTTATACTTATCTTTATAACAATAATAAAATTATTTTTAGTATTAATTAAAAAAAATTATTTATCAACTAATCCTCCCTATATATTATTCCCGAATACGCTGAGCCTACGTGGCTGCTTCTGGTGTTTCGAAATCCTACTTGACAAAAAATCATGCTTCGTAATTAGATTTGGAAAAATAATATTCATATATTAATAATTAATAATTTAGGTTTGGTCATTCCATCAATATTTTTTAGCTAACTTAGGTATTTTAGTATCAATTGTACTAATATAACCCTTTATTTCTTTGTAATTTTACATAGAGAGACACTAAGTGACTAATATATCATTGACTTTTGATTTGTTTCCTTCAATTAGCTATTGAATTATAAATGTATTTTAAAAGTTGATAACTTTTGTATTTACTATTGATTTTACATATATAATATATCAAATTAATCATCTTTTGATGATCTTCGATTTGACATCCTCCCTATATATAATTCCCGAATGCGCTGAGCCTATGTGGCTGCTTCTGG